AAWWWTYCMARAWTTWWAAAAAAATTATATCAGAAACACTTCTGGCCCTAAGTATTTCAGATAAGGGATACTGCCCTATATAACTTGGTTTTCTCAGGGCATAACTGTGTCTTTTGTGGGTGGAGAAGGCACGGGCATGAGAGAAATGGTGCCTTTTGGCTTCCTCATTACACTGATTTTGGTGAGGCATCTCTGGAAAAGTTCTCTGCTCCACTGATCAGAACCTTCTGAGAGCCAAGAGGTGGGGGACAAGTTCTTTATCTCATGTCTGTCYTAGCCAGGACGGAAAATTAATTCTGCTGTTGGGAAGGACAGAGAAGTTGTTTGTCACAGTGTACCAAAGCTCTTCGACACAGCACATAATTTGCCCTCCACTAATACGCAGCAAGAACTACGGATGTTAGGAATGTCTCTCACTAACATCTGCTTTCTTATTCATTTCTTTTACTTCCTTTTACTGGCAACTTTAATTTGAGGTGACAGATGCCTTCTGAGGCTTTGGAAGTCATCCCTCTCAGTAACCAAATCCTGTCCTGTGGGGGACGTTTCCTCTCTGCAGCTGTTCTGTGAAGCCTCAGCAGTGTGCTGGAGTTGGCAATGCGCTGTACAGTGCCCTGACATCTCGCTCTCTCCTTGCCTTCACAGCTGGCGCTACCTATATCTTTGGGAAAAGTGGTGGCCTCATCCTCTACACCTGGCCGGCCAATGACAGGCCCAGCACGCGCTCTGACCGCCTGGCAGTGGGCTTCAGCACCACGGTGAAGGATGGCATCTTAGTACGCATCGACAGCGCTCCAGGTCTTGGAGACTTCCTGCAGCTTCACATAGTGAGTACCCGGCCTTGGCCTGCCTTCTCTTGTCTCCCTGGTGGTCTGAGTTGGTGAGTCAGATAAATGCCTCGGAACACTCTACAGGACTCAGCAAAGGTGCACATGCTTCATAGGAATTGCCTTCTATTATGTGAACCATCACACTCATACGTGCTTCTGTGATAAAAAAATTAAAAACTCTCCCCTCTGTTCCAGGAATATATATATAGAAAAAAAAAAAACTCTTCTCTTTCAAACTCCCTTTCCCAACCTTGTGGTTTGGCCTGCAGATAAACATCTAGCAGATCACTTGGGTGCAGACAATAGATTTACAAGGTATGGTTCAACTTACTTGGTACAAATAGCAAAGCTAACTGGAATGTTCATGATTTCCTGGGCTGGGGTTTGGCAAACCTATAAAGGGCCAAGGAGGGACTCACAGGCTGGTTATATAGTCTCTATCAGAGTGACTCAGTTTTGCCATAGATAATACATCTTTTTAGTGCACCAGACCGAATTTCAGTGAAAATTCCTTTACCAAAATTAGCCACAACTRTAGTTGGTGACCCTTGTCCTCAGACGCAAATATCACTGTAGAGGTAGATATAAAGAATGTGTGATAAAAACTGATGTCAGCGCTTCAGAGTGGGTGGGGCTGTGTTTCAAAGGAAATAGCACAATGACCAAGAGTGTTATTCATGCATATTGCATATCTGACATTTTGCTTTATGTCTTGTATGTATGAACTCAATAGGACTGTACTTTCAGTCCCTACAGATCTTAAGAAAATACTGCAAGTCTAAGAAACTAAAATGATTTGAAGGAAAAAAAAAACTGCTTTGTTATAAGGATAGGAAATATTTTTATAGCAACAATTAACCCATTTTATCACCTGTGCAGTCTGCAGCTAAGAAAGTAGGCTAAAGATATGATTCTCATCTATAAGCACCCCAAGTGCAGCCACCAACAGCAATGAGAGGAATTGTTCTCATTAGTTAGCAATGACAAAGCTAGAAAGAATGGATTTAATTTGGAGCAATAAGAATTCAGTTTAAATAGCAGGGGAAAAACAGCAGTTAAGAAAAAAGATCAACTGGGGATTAGTACCAATCTGTAAAAAGAAGAAAAAAAGGAACACTGACTGGAGATTCTTGAATCAGAGTCTGCTGATATTCAGTTCCAGGGATAGAAGCAGGACTTAAGATTTCATTGCTGGGCTCTAGAGTTGGAGAGTTGGAAGTGTTCATCTCTAGCACTTGCTCCTCCGACAAGCCTTGGAAGTGGGAGCAACTCAAGTTTGAGACTAGAGCTGGAAGCTTGTCTGGCCCAGTAGGAGCCAGAGCAGAGCAAGAGTCTACTTACAAATGCAAGAAGGGATTGTTTAGAAGTGATGGCCTTCAAAATGTAGAAGAGGAGTCTTAAAGATTTGAGTTGCAAATTTTAAATTCTGAGATGTTTTAAGAGCTATAAGGTATAGCAAGCCTGAGCATAAACATTTTAAAAAGCCACACCAAGGAGCAAAGAGAAAGGCAACCATAGTTCTATAGTTTATCTTTATTTGGTCTCTAAGAACCACCATAATTTACAGAACTCTTGGAGATTTATGCTGCAGATAACTTAATGATTATTTCATGGCAGCTATAACTAGGATATTATCACCAGTTCACTTGCATTTTCATAGTGATTTATCTTCTTTTTTTGTTCAGTGTGACTTGCTCAGAAAAAATATGATTTGGCATGGCCATGAGCATCTTTTTGAGTCAGCTACTGTGCTACTATTTTATCCAATTCTCCCCCATTCACTTTTAAGAAAGAGGTTTTCTTATTTTCTGACAGTTTGCTTGGAATTGCTGATGTTTTTATAAAATGGATGTGTGAATACTAAGAACTTCTAGGAGGAGCTAGGATACTCTGGTATATTGTATTATGACATTATAACTTTGTCCTTTCTTAAGTGTTTTGAAAAAAAATGAATTCTTCTAAAACATACTTTAGGGTTCAAGTATACATTTGTTTGTATTCATTAGTGTGTGTACTCTGTTTAAGCATACATATTAGGTTTTGTGGTATATCACTTTGTTTATAAAAAGCAAAAATAGTAGAAATTTTTCATCACAATATGTAGAACCATCTTTGGGTGCTACGTACCTACTCCAGTGAAGCTATGATTCCCTAAACATCCTGGGAAATTCCAGTAGATTTTCCTGCAAATCTTGGGTTAGAAAATTATATCATCTGCCTGATCTTTTCAAAAGAAAAGACAAAGGGACGCTACAATATAAAAAATTCATGGTGAACCTGACCTATGTATGACCCTCTCAAGCACGGGGCTCCTTCATTGGTCCAGTTGTGTGAAACCATGTTGTATTTCTTTGTGGATTATCTCTTTCTTTATACACAATTGAAAATAAAGTAACCCAAGTAGACTGCAAGGACTGAATAAAAAATTAGTCTCTTATTTTGGACATATATGTAGATATATCAGGGAAATAAAGCCATGGATATCTATTAAGGTACTTTGATAAGACTGTTACAATCTGTAAAAGGTGGTTTTGTTTGTTGAATGGTTTTTGTTTGTTGAAAATTACTTGAAAGGAAAAGAGATTGGGGTCATCAGCAAAAGTGAAAATGATTGGGCAGGAAGCAAAAGATTTTACTCCACCTTGCTATTTGCCTACAAGAAGAGAACTTGCTGGAAAACAAAAGAAGTGATGGCAGTATTCAGAGGAGATGCAAGCTTGTGGCTTTATTTATTTAGGGCTGCTTTAAAAGAATACCTGTGATTTGATAATTTGTAAATAATAGAAATTTATTTATCCATTTGGGAGATGGGGAAGTTCAAGAAGATCAAGATGGCAGCAGGTGAGAACTTGGTCTTGCGCTTCCATGAGGATGACTTGAACACTCTCCTCTAGAGGAGAGGTTGCCATGTTTTCACATGCAGCAGAAGAACAAAAAAGTGAACCTACTCCTGTAAGTGCCCCCCGTCCACCCCATACMTTTGGAAGTACTGGGAATTGAACCCAGGGGTGTTCTGCCACTTAGCTACATCCTCAGCATTTTTTTTTTTTTCTGAGACATGGTCTCTCTTAAGTTTGAGGCTGGCTTTGAACTTGCAATCTTCCTGACTCTGCCTCATGAGTAGCTGGCAATACAGGCATGCCCCTTGTGCCTGGTGCTGCAAAACAGCTTATAATGCTGTTAATCTGCCTGTAGAAAGACCCTGACTCTCAACACTATTGCATAGGGTATGGGTGACACATCCAGACCATGGGAGGGGGATAAATTCCTGGGAAAAGGAAAAAAAGGACAGGAATCTGCCTACACACATACACCAGCAGGGACTATATGGGAGTGAAGCTTCATTCTTTGAGTATGTGTGTTAACTGTGGAAAGAACTCTAGTGGTACCTGTAATGGTGGTCAGGCTAATAAAGTTGTTTTAACAACAAAGTATGAATGAAAATATGTGTGTGTGTGTGTGTGTGTGTGTGTGTGTGTTGTGTGTATGAGAGAGTGAGAAAGAGAGAGAGGAAAACAGCAAGAGAGAGAATCAAACAAAATCGAGACAGAGAAGAGAAAATTTGTGTCTAATAAATTGGCAACTTTTAGAAATTCTTGAGGTGTTCTGTGTGGCTTCAACACGGTCACTGGAATAATTCATTTTTATTCCCAAGTTAGCTTATTTGAAGGAAGTGAAAATGTTTTTCCAAGAATACCCAGGAGTCTGACTCTGAGGTCAGCACCCATCCTAGAATAGTGCACAGCAGTAATGGCAGATGGATTTCATCCTGCTAGACTTTCACTCTCTTGCTTTGAGCTTTACACTGGAAAGATTTGTGMAGGCAGCAGAGATTCCAGCAGGTTGGAGATCCGGCCTTTACTCGATTTGTCTGCTGCAGGTGGGAAGWGGGCCATTGTGGATGTACAATGCACAAGTATTACACCTCTTCTAAGCTATACACATGATTTGAACTTTCCCTCTTCTCTTCCTGTCTTCTTGAAATCCCCACACTTTAATAACTGTTTAGGAAAATAGGTATCTTCTTAAACTCATGCTTCATTGGAAGTACCTTAAATTGTTGACTAATTAGTTGAAAGCAGTCAGTCTTGTCGTAATCCTTCTCACAGCAGGCTAAGGTCAGCTGCTGTGACAGAATTTGAGTTTTGATGGGAGAGTGGGAGAGAATGAAGAGTAAGTGGCCATGACTAATTTGAGGACATGCAATATTGTGTCAGATGGCAGGAATGGGTAGAGAAAGCTTGGACAAAATTTAGGTATGCCCTATGGGAAATAATTGGGACAGAGAAAGAAAAAGGCACCAAATTGAGTTGGGTAGGTGCTGTCAGCATGATTTTTCTTATTTCATGATTTATTAGATTATCTGTCGTCCTGGTGAAGTCTCTTGCCTTTTTTTATACTTTCTTTTTAACCTAAAGTCTTCTCATTTATTTGTTCCTCTTGGGAGTTAAATGGCCATTGACAATCAGTGATAAACAAGATAAGAATTGGATCATTTAAAAAATAAATCAGAGAAGGCCAAGAGATCAAAATAATTTATAAATCACTTATTTCAAATTAACATTTCTTTGCTTTTGGGTTCACCATTTCATGATGCAGTGCTTTCTGTATCAATTATGACTCATGATATTAATGAAATCATGAATGGAATGTGTTTGAGAAAGGCAAAAAGTCCTTTGTTGAAGTACATGTGCATGAAATGAGATTCTGTGGAGGGAGGGTATCTTAGGGCACAGGGGTTTCTTTTTTGCTAATTATTATTTCAAATATAAGTTTGCTGCCACCTAAATCTATTGTTGAGCGATTAATCTGCTTAATATTTGGAGAACAGCTGCTGTTACTTGAGAGTGACATCTGCTCATTGACCCCACATCAAGGCTTCATAGAGCTGTGTCCCTTTTCACTCACCTTCATTTATACCAAAAGGGAAACAGTGAATAGGACCAGAGAAAAGATCACCATGAAGTGCTTACTCTTGATATCACACAGCTCTTGAC